AATGTAAATTTGTCAATATTTAAATGAAAGTATGTACTGAAATACTGAATCTAGACACTTAGAAGATCATTGCAGGGAAAACATTGCTTCTTTGTGTATCATATTATATAAAAACTTTGGTGATATTTATTCGGCGAGCTCTGGTGGCCTCGTGGCAGTCCTGAAGCCATGCTGTTAAAACCCATCAGCTGCTCTGAGGAGAAGGATGGACAGTCTCATCCTGTGAGATTATTTGACTCTGAAAACCCATCAGAGGGTCAGCTATGGATTGATTCTGACTCAGTGGTATACAACAACAACAGGTGATTTTAACTTTTATTTAGCAGTACTGAAGACTGATTTTTAATTGATAGTATCTATAAAGTATTAACCCAAACTCTAATTTATTAAAAAATATTGACAAAGATAAAAAAATAACACATTCAATGACATCAGATTCATACTTTTTTCTCTTAACCACCATCAAGGTAGATGTTGTTGTTGTTTGTTATGTGCCTTCGAGTCGTTTGCGACTCATAGCGACCCTATGTACAACAGCCCTAAACCCTGCTCTATCCTGTGCCATCTCATTGCCTCTGACACACCCATCCCGAGTACCCCAGTCACTGAATCAATCCACCTCACAGAGGGCCTTCCCCTCCTGTGCTGTCCGTCTACTCTACCCAGCATGATGTCCCTTTCTAAAGACCTGTCTCTCCTTACAACATGTCCAAAGTATGTCAGACGAAGCGCCAGAATCCTTGCCTCCAAAGAGCAGCCTGGTTTAATCCTCTCTACGATGAATCTGTTTGTTTTCTTGGCAGTCCATGGTACATAATCTGGTAAATTATTTTAGCGGCAGCATATGAAGAAAAGTCCAACTAGTAATGAACACTTTGATTTGCAAAGCATTATATATTTGTTTGAATGAAATTTCTGCTAATAAATATGCTTTTTCACTCTTACCCTGTAGGTGACAGTCTTGTGATGAATAATTTTAATCAGTGCACTGTTTTTAGGATCTTTAGGTCTTAAACAATGAAATTTTTACTTATTGAGAGAATAATTCTAGGTGATGATTCATGGTGAGAACCAGAATAGACTCACTGACTTGGAAAACTTATAAAAGAATGTGAGATCAGGAACTAGGAAGTGCCCAGGCTCGGAATATTGTGACCCTGTTATGTTCTGTGGGTGGATGTTCTTTCTTCATGGTGATGAGGCAGCAAGTTCATACCCTTGGAGGGGGAGGAAAGTTGTCCTCTTTTCCTTCTGGAAAAAGTGTTGAGTTGTTATTGTTATTACTAAACATCCATATTTTGAGAATTTGAACTTGCATAAATGATTCTTCAAGAAGCTTCCATATAACATAAACACTCTGTTGAAGAACATTTAGTTATTTTTTTAAAGTAAAATGTTGGGAATTCATTTTCATCTCATCCAGATTCATCCCAACTCAGTTTCTTTTGTCAAGCAAGATTACTGAGATAAAAAAAAAATTAGGAATATTCGTCCCATAGAATATGTAGATCTTTTTATGTGTAGTTGGGTTGTCATATGTTATTACTAGTAAATGAATGTTAATTTATGAAATTAATACAATATGTAAATATGTTATATATTTTACATTAATATAATATAGAAATAGTATATTATATAAATGATATTAGAGAAATGGAAATAATATTGTACTTTGATTTTAGAGATTAATAGTGTTACGTATGACTTTATATAGATTAATATGAACTATTAATTTATATAACATTAAGAAATATGCTGGAGCAATGAGGGTTGGTGTGTCAGAATTAGTGAGACTGGCTCAGGTCAGGCAGGGTTCAGAGCTGCTGTACATAGGGTTGCTACGGATCGCAGGCAATGTGACAGCACATAACAACAACAACCTTAACAATTGCTCGGTACTGTGGTACGGGTTTTTCGTACAAGATCTGAAATTTCTCTAACACGATGTCACAAGGTGTTACTCTCTTTTTTTTTTACCTGATTAAATAGACACGAATGAATGTAATATGCCTATATTTGAGTAGGATGTAAGCTTTAGAGCTTCCTTTCAAAGCTCCCAGAGCCACGGCCTTCTTTACATTACACCACTGTGGTTTGGTTGGGTCCATTGGATTTTTTATTTTTATAATATACTTTCATCAACTATAGCCAATAACCAGATATGAATAGAAATTCTGATTCCTACATCAGATTACTTAAATGAAGTAACCTGATTACAAATGTCAGATTATGCTTTTGTACTTTTGAGTTTCTACCTCCAAAAATGTCTACTGTTTACTAAGAGCATTGGCGTAATGCATGTTTTAAATTCTGACACCAGTTCCTACAGGCGTTATGTATATGTTTCGGTAGCTCTGGAGGCTCTGTCTCTAGCGAGTTACGCAGCTAACGCAAAGGCTTTGTCTTTGGTGGATCAGATCTGCCCGAGAAAGATGGGCCGTCTCTGCCCATTGTCATTTACAGCCTTGGCAATCCAGCGGAGGATCAGAACTCTCTAGATGGCCCTGAATTTTGAGGTTCCCCCACCCTTCTATGCAAGTCTAGTAACATTCGGAAGGGCACCTGGATCTCTGGGGTGTTCTTCTATATGTGGCATGAGAAAATGAGACTCATGCCGAAAGGTCAGGAAGACTGACTTTCTAGTAGCTCTCACGTCCCAAGATAGGGAGGTGCAGCCTCTGTGACTCAGCGTATACAGGAGGCTGTACCTGGGGACAAGGTGACTGGGAGGGGTTGTGGGAGATGGCGCACATGGCAAGTGGGGTGGAATTATTTGGGAACAGAAAAAAAGGATCAGTCATTGGAAAACATGGACTTGGAAATAGAAATGAAGTTGGAGATAGAATGATAGAATTTTATACAATCATTGATTTATTAATTGTAAATACTTTTTATAAGAAGGGTAAACGCAGACTATACACATGAATGTCACCTGATAGTATGCATAGGAATCAGATTGATTACATCTGTGGGAAGAATGGCTGGAGTAGCTCAATATCATCTGTGAAAACTAGGCCAGGTGCTGATTGTGGAACAAACCACCAACCACTCATATGCAAGTTTGAGCTGATGTTAAGAAAAATTAAATCAAATCTATGGGAACCAAAATTTGACCTTGAGTCTATCCCACCTGAATTTCAAAACCATCTTAGGAACAGGTGTGAGGCCTTAAACACTAATGAACGAAGACCAGATGAGCTGTGGGAGGATATCAAGAACATCATCCAGAAAGAATGCAGTGGGTCAGTACAGAGACAGAGGAGGAAGAAAAGACAAGGTGGATGTCAGAAGAGACTCTCAATATTGCACTATAGTGCCAAAAAGCCAAAACAAAGGGACAAAATCAAGAAGTTAAGAAGCTGAACAGAAGATTTCAAAGGACAGCGGGGAAAGGCAAAACAAAGTGTTATAATGAAACGCGCAAAGAACTAGAGTCAGATAATCAAAGAGGCCAAACTCATTCAGCATTTCTTAAGTAGAAGGAGTTGAAGAACAAATTCAAGCTTCAAATTGCCATGCTTACAGATGCTATGGGCAGAATATTAAATGACCCAGGAAGCATTAGAAGAAGATGCAAAGAGTATATAGAGTTATTGTACCAAAAGGAATTGACAGACACAGAAGAATTTCATGAAACAATGTATGAATAAGAGCCTGTGGTGATAAAGGAAGAAGTTCAAGTTGCTCTGAAAGAATCAGCAAAACACAAGGCCTCAGTAATTGATGGCTTACTTACATCAATTGACATTTCCACAGACACTTCTCTGGATGTGCTCAACTAAGTTGTACCAAGAAATCTGGAGGACAGCCACCTGGCCAACTGACTGGAAGAGATCTATATTTGTTCCCATTCCAAAGACAGAGTGTGGAAATTAGCAAACAGTATCACTAATATCACATACAAGCAAGATTCTTCTGAAAATTATTAAAAAAATAACAGAAACAGCACATCAACAGAGAACTGCCAGAAGTGCAGCCTGGGTTTAGAAGAGGCTGTGGTACTAGGGATATTATAGTTAATGTTAGATGGATCTTGGCTGAAAGCAGAGAGTACCAGAGGAATGTCTATCTGTGCTTCATTGACTATGCAAAGGCTTTTGAATCTGTGGATCACAACAAGCTGTGGCTGACTCTGAGAAGAATGGGAATCCCAGGACATTTGATTGTCCTTATGGGAAACCTATACTTGAACCAAG